AGCACTACAAGTCCCGGCGTGCCTGGGCGCCTCCGCTCCTTCCTGCGCGCTCACCTTCCTGCCTTCGCGGCGAGAAAATCAGCCTGAAGTTCCTGCGATCAGCTGATCTCCACTGACAACAAGGGGAGACGGAGGCGAGGAGCAAGGGACTCGCACAGGCACCCCGCCTGGCGGGGCTGACACAGCCATCCCGGGCCCCCTACCTCTACGTGGTGGGAAAGAAGGAGCGGAGCAGACTCCCCCCCCCCCGGTTGCTGAAAGGAGGAGGAAGAGGCGGCTGGAACTTGACCCCCCTTAGTCACCAAGTACTGGCTGGAGGAAGAGGAGGAGTAAGGTGCCTGCTGTTTTGTAAACAATAGAGTGGGTCGTGAAGTCCCTTATTTTTTTGGGGGGGCGGGTGGCTTCTTTGTTCAAAGACACAGTATATCCCATCCCCCTCGCAAACCCGTCTGCCGGATGATAGTGTTGTGTATGGTGTAACAGAAGGAAATAGTGCTGTTTTTAAAAGCTAGTGTATCAAATGACAAAATGTGGTTTAGTCGGGTGTAAGGTAGGTGATTGATGAAAGCATAAAGCAAGCAATCAGCCGATACTTCTGTTATTTAATAAATGTAAAATCGTTTAAAGAAAATATGAAGTGGCTACTGAAAACGTTTGTTTTTAGCTCCAGGCAGAGTCTGTATATGGAGTAATCAGAACACAAGTGTAAACAGGGTATGACTGCAGTCTAACATTCCTTGTCAGCTATCTCCTGCCTTATTATATTGCTAATAAATTATTGCTTTAAACAAGCGTTTAAAATGTTAAAGAAAAAATAAGGTAAGCGAAGAATCAAGCCACAAATGTCGTCAGCTTCTATTTTTAAAAAGTTTTTTTGAAAGACCTGTTAAATGACAGATTAGCTGACTTAGTCATGGGAAGCATTCTGTGTGGGGTGGCAACTGTAAATAAATGTGTTCTGACAAAGAGTAGTTGATCGGCAATGTGTTTTGTAGCAGTTATTTGTTTTGGTGGTAAAATTTTGGAAATACTGTGTGTGTGAGGGACACAAACATTAGCATGGTTACAACAACACAGATTTTGTATCCAGCATTGCAGGGATGAGCGTACAAGTTTAATTTTTTGTCTGGGAAAGCAGATCAGGAAAGTCCCTGGAGTTTTGCAAACTCTGAGGGAGGAGCTTAACTGTGGAGTGAGAAATGTCTAGGGATACAATGCTCTGCACTGTGCATTTCTAATGTTATCTCATTTTTTTTCTTGTCATATGTTACTAATTAAAACAAATCTTTTTTTTTTCTCTCTCTCTCAGTTCTAGGGGTTCCAGGGAAACATTTGAACCTGTCTATTGAAATACTCCAGTCTTATTTCTCTACACTGCTGAAATTACAGCTTCAAATTAAGTGGAAAACTCCATAGGTCAGCAGTTGAAACAACGAACCTGTATACTGTTGTTTTAGAGACAGAAAGTTTCATCTGGACTTTAAGCTTTTTTTGGGGGGGAGGGGTAAGTGCGGAGAGAGGGAATCATTGTTCAGGCTGGTACAAATCTTTTCAGCATTTGCTACATTGTTTATAAAGTTAAGAATCCTCTGTATTTTTTTTCAGTTTTTTGTCCTTGTGGACACAAATTTTACAACTGGAAGCTCTTGAAAATCTGTGTACATTTCCATTTAAAAAAAATTCAGATACATACGACTTTGCTCTTGAAAATCTGTGTACATTTCCATTAAAAAAAAAATTCAGATACATACGACTTAAAAAAAAAAAAAAAGCTGAAAATGAGTGCTCATGCTCCATTGGTGGAGAAGGGACTGAACACAGCACTCATGTGTCAGGAAAGCTATGTTTGTAGTGGGACTGATGAAGCAGTCTTTGAATGCGATGAGTGTGGAAGCCTGCAATGCCAGCGCTGTGAAGAGGAGTTGCACAGACAGGAAAGGCTGCGAAACCATGAACGGACCCGAATAAGACCTGGCCATGTCCCTTACTGCGACAACTGCAAGGGTGCCAATGGGAATATAATGCACAGTAATACCACAGGATCCAGGCAGAGGGCAGCAATGAGGTGCCAGATGTGCAAAACAAACCTGTGCATGGAGTGTCAGAAGAGGACACACACTGGGGGAAACAAAAGGAAACACACAATTACCATGTACCATGGTAGCAAACCCCAAGAGGAAGAGGAAGAAGGGATGGATGAAGAGACCAAGAGGAAGAAGATGACAGAGAAGGTTGCAAGTTTCCTTCTGGTGGATGAAACAGAAGAGATACAGGTAAGAACTATAGTGGCTTCTGAACAGATAAGGCATCTTTGTCCTTGTCTACATTACCAAGTTTAGTTGCCAAAAGTTATGTTGACACCCAAAAATCAACAAAACAAAAATCGCTAGAGGGTATTCACGCTTACTTGCTCTGCTGACAGATCATGTCTACAGGAGTCACCATTCGCTATGAGCAAAAGCACTGTGGGTACATATCCCACAGTGCAGTGTGGTGGGAAGGCGGAGCTGATCGTTGCCCATGCTCTAGGGTTTCCTTCTGCGTTCTCCAGGGAAGGCGGAGCTGATCGTTGCCCATGTTGGGATTCCTTCTGCGTTCTCCCACAACCTCCTCAACTTCCCCTGAGCAGCGTCATGAGTGAGCTCTCTGTGCTGAGGAATGTCAAAGCAGCACATCAGTCTCTTCCCCCCCCCCCCCCCACTTGGGAGCAGCAATCTGTATGCCACTGTGTTACTAGTGCAGAGCACAACTGGAGTATTCCCATGCTTTGCTGTTTGTTCCCTATAGGAACAACACACTCAGCTGTCCGATTATTTCCCTGAAGCTTTGAAAAGGGAGCGGCACATGCCTGCAGAACAGCAGAGATCAAAACACTAAGCCAGAAGGATCAGGGCAGGCACTGTAGGATACTGGCGGAAGACAGTTCTGTCAACGAAACAAACGGCAGAGTTTACACTGGCTCTTTTCCCCTCCCTTTATGGTTAACAAAGTACTCCAAGGGTTGGAAGTTTTTTGTCATGGAAACTGGCATTTTTTCCTGACAAAAGTAGCATTGCAGTGTGTACACACTCGATGTGTCATTGCCAAAAAACAGTTTTTGAGACAAAACTTGGTACTATGGACAAGGCCTTAGTTTCTGTGTTAACCACACTTCTGGATAGTTCTGTTAGACTAAAAAATTCTTCAAGGGTAATCTTTGGACACTTGACTTGTAAAACAGCAGTAATGATGAAATTGGGATAATCTGCTCGTGATGCTAAATTAGCATCCTCTGCCAAAGACACATAGTGCTCAGGGATTTCTTACATGCCTACCATGAGAACATGCCTGCCAATAGGAAAGGAGGCAAAGGTGGCAGTTACTCCAGAGTCTGGTGGTTCAAAGGGGCTCAGGGCTCCCATCCACCTCCACTGCTACAACAGCAGTGGGTGTCCTGGGCTCTAGCTGATTGTGGAGATGTTTGATTATTAGAACCCTGCACAGATATACAATTTTTATCTGCATTTGCAGCTTGTTTTTGTGAATATTTGCATTGACATCCGCAGATGTCTGCAATACAATTTTTATCTGCATTTGCAGCTTGTTTTTTTGAATATTTGCATTGACATCTGTGGTATCTTCAAATTTGCAGGGTTCTAGATAAAAAATGTGTATGCGCATTCATATCAGCACAAATTAGCTGTGGACATCCGTATCCATCCACATTCATATACTGTACATGGATTTGCAGGGCTCTATTGATCAAGTCATTTTGCCTTCTACTGCCTGCGTTAACTGATTTATGCACCTAGAGCAGTAGTCATAAGACACAGCTAGGCCTCTTATATTTAGTCAAAGTGTGGCAATGAAAAAAGCTTTGTTGCTAGAGTTTCTCAACAAAGAGAGGAAGAAAGCTTCTTGCAGCAAATTACATAGGCCCAGGTTCCTGAAAACCACAATCTTAAATGGAGAAAGGAGAGTCCTCTTATTGTTGATTCTCTCAGCTGAAACTACCACAGCACCCAACCTCTCCCTTTCCAATTTAAGAGTTTTCCTCACGTTGTTAACAGAACAGTCTTTTCCACCTCCTTAATTCAGCCCCTTTCTTGGGTTTCTCTGTAATCCCTACAGCAAGGGTGGGGAACCTCAGGCCTGGGGGCCAGAGGCAGCTCCCAGTGTGCCTGGATCTGGCCCCCGAGGCTCAATGCTCCCCACCAGTAGTGGGGAGCCCATACTGGCACTCCCACCCTCCTGCTGCCCCACCACGGTATGGGAGCACACAAAATAAACTAGGCAAATACAACTTAGATGGGGCTGCTATAAGGTGGGTGCAAAACTGGCTGGATAACCATTCTCAGAGACTAGTTATAATGGTTAGTCATGCTGGAAGGCCATGACAAGGTGTTTCGCAGGGGCTGTTTTGGGACCGGTTCTGTTCAATATCTTCATCAACAATTTAGATATTGGCATAGAGAGTATGATTACTAAGTTTGCTGATGATACCAAGCTGGAATGGGTTGCAACTGCTTTGGAGGATAGGGTCATAATTCAAAATGATCTGGACAAACTGGTGAAATGATCTGAGGTAAATAGGATGAAGTTTAATAAGGACAAATGCAAAGTACTCCACTTAGGAAGGAACAATCAGAATGGGAAGCAATTGTCTAGAAAGGACTACTGCAGAAAGGGATCATGGGGTTGGAAGGAACAATCAGAATGGGAAGCAATTGTCTAGAAAGGAGTACTGCAGAAAGGGATCATGGGGTCGTAGTGGACCACAAGATAAATATGAGTCAATAGTGTGACACGATTGCAAAAAAAGCAAACATGATTCTGAGATGCATTAACAGGTGTGTTGTGAGCAAGACACGAGAAATCATTCTTCTGCTCTACTCTGTGCTGATTAGGCCTCAGTTGGAGTATTGTGTCCAGTTCTGGGCACCACATTTCAAGAAAGATATGGAAACTGGAGACAGTCCAGAGAAGAGCAACAAGAATGATTAAAGCTCTAGAGAACATGAGCTATGAGGGAAGACTAAAAAAATTGGGTTTGTTTAGTTTAAAAAGGAGAAGACTCAGAGGGGTTTCCAAGTATCTAAAAAGGTGTCACAAAAGACGGAGAAAAATTGTTCTCTTTGGCCTCTGCTTCTTGTCCTATCATCAATGGGCTTAAACTGCAGCAAGGGAGGTTTAGGTTGGACATTAGGAAAAACTTTCTACCTGTCAGGGTAGTTAAACACTGAAATAAATTGCCTAGGAAGGTTGTGGAATCTCCTTTTCTAGAGATATTTAAGAGCAGGTTAGATAAATATCTATCAGAGATGGACTAGACGATGCTTGGTCCTGCCAAGAGGGTAGGGAACTGCACTCAATGACCTCTCAAGGTCCCTTCCAGTTGTAGTGTTCTATGAATATTTACTAGGCTGGGTCCCACTAGTTTCTAGTGTGCGAGGGGAATGTGGGGACTGTCTTTCTCCTCAGTTTTGCTATAAATCCAAGGTTTTTGGAACACATCTTGGACTTAGAGCAAGGATGGCCTGTATATTATAATATGTAATATAAAATAAGAGAATGGCACTTGGTGGCAACTGGCAACTCTAGATTTCTCTTATTGCAGCTTTTAGTGCTGCATACTTGGGTGATAGTTAACTAGGTTTAGAATCTAATAAAACGAGCCATAAGTATTAGTTAAGCTAAACTTTCTAGCACTATCCAACGGAGCAAATAGTTTGGGAATTTACTTGTTAAATCACACTTATACTAAAAGGCACAGAGCATCTTGAATAATGATGCACTGCAAAGTTGACCCACATTGTTTTTCAGGCATCTTCATATCTTCATCCACAGCATTTTGTCCCAATAAGCAATTTTCCTTATGATGTTTCATTCTTGCAGCTAAGCCCTGCATCTCCTTCTTGCACTGCTTACACTTGATACATTTTTCTTTTTTATTGAGGGAATTAATTTCTTCAAAATATTCCTAGATAAGGTCTCTCTTAGTATGTCTACACTATAGAGAAGATCGAAGCTGCCACTGTCGACCTTCCAGGGTTCAAATTCGTGGGTCTAGTGAAGACATGCTAATTTGAATGGAGAGAGGCACTCCAGTTGATGTCAGTAGTCCTGCTTCCACGAGGAGTAAGGGAAGTCAAAGGGAGAGTGTTCTCCCTTCTACTTCCTGCAGTACGGACAATGCCAAAAGTTGAATTAAGGTACCTCGACTTCAGCTATGCAATTAATGTAGCTGAAGTTGCGTATCTTAATTTGACCTAATCTCCTAGTGTAGACAAACCCTCTGATACCTAGAAGCCATGACAGTTTTTTTTATGGCAAAAGTATAAGAGGAATATAGGAAGCCATGTGTGCTGAATAATGTCTTTTTTTTCTTTCCAGTCCACTAAGCATAAGCTTATCGGGTAGTCGACTGGAGTATCGACTACTTGCTCTTTTCCCTCTCCGCCCCCACTGCGTCTATGAGAGGCCGTAAATGGGGGGAGAACAGGAGCCAGTGCTGGGGGGAGCTGGCTTAAAAACTGTTTTCCCCCAGCACTGGCTTTGCTGTGCCATCTGTCTCCCTCATCTCCTGCTGCCTCTAATGGAGGGGAGAATAGGGGAGGCTGCTGTGAATTGGAGAGGCTGCTTCCCATGGCGGGCTGAGACTTGCTGTGGGCAGAGGCTGCTCTAGCAGCAGCCCCTGTCCGCGGCAGCTTGGGCTGCCCACGCGCAGGGACTGATGCTGGTGCAACCTGTGTTCGCAGCAGGCAGGACTGGTCACCGCAAGAAGGGGCCAGGATTTGGCGTGAGCCGGGACCAAGTAGTCTTGTCTTGCACTGGTCCAGGATGCTGTGCCTCTGCATTTTAAACATAGTAAGAGCCCAGTGGCTCTTACTACATTTAAAACGCATAGCCATTGCACGGGTGGTTCTCAGAACCAGCATGAGTTGGGACTGCTCAGTTCTGGCTCAAGCTGGTTCCTGGAGCTACCCCCACTGTGGATCTGCAGAGCAGTCCTTATCGACTAATCGTGTAGTCGATACAAACTGTATCGACTACATGATTAGTCAGATAACTGCAATATAACATCCCTGGTTTAGACAATGTCTTGTCAAACTCTGCTGTGCTTGGCTCAGGTCCTCCACCTAAGCACAGAACAAAAACTATCCTATCCAGCCTGTTTCTATCTTTGCACGTTAGTCTACTGAGAGAAATTGAAAACCCCAAACTTTCAAGAAGCAAGTGCTGATAGTTAGGCTGGACAGACTAGAATCATTAATTTATCCTTATGAGATTGTAAGTGTAGCATGTTTGTGATAAGATTTAATTGTCATCTAACATAAGAATGGCCATACTGGTTCAGACCAATGGTTTGTCCAACCCAGTATCCTGTCTGCCAACAGTGGACAATATCAGATGCCTCAGAGGAAGGGAACACAATAGGTAATCTTCTCGTGATCCCTCCCCTTCACCCACCTCCAGAGAAATAGAGGCTAGGGACACCATTCCTACCTATCCTAGCTAATAGCCATTGATGGACCTAACCTCCATGAATCTATCTTGCTCTTTTTTTAACCCTAGCCTTGACCACATCTTCTGGCAAGGAGTTCCACAGGTTGACTGTGCACTGAGTGAAGAAAACTTCCTTTTGTTTGTTTTAAACCTGCTGCCTATTAATTTCATTTGGTGACCCCTACTTCTTATATTGTGGGAATAAGTAAATAACTTTTCCTTAATCACTTTTTCTACTCCAGTCATGATTTTATAGACCTCTATCATATCCCCCCTTAGTCTCCTCTTTTCTAAGCTGAAAGTCCAAGTGTCTTTAATCTCTCTTCACATAGGACCTGTTCCAAACCCCAATAATATTTGTTTTTTGTTTGTTTTGAACCTGCTGCCTATTCATTTCATTTGGTGACACTTAATTCTTATATTGTGGGAATAAGTAAATAATTTTCCTTATTCACTTTTCCATACCAGTCATGATTTTATAGACCTCAATCATATCCCCCCTTAGTCTCCTCTTTTCTAAGGTGAAAAATCCAAGTCTTTTTAATCTCTCTTCATATGGGACCAGTTCCAAACCCCTTTCTTGCCCTTTTCTGAAACTTTTCCAATGCCAATATATCTTTTTCTGAGATGAGGCAACCACATCTATATGCAGTATTCAAAATATGAGTGTACAATAGTTTTATATAGAAGCATTGAGATCCTTTCTCTCTTTTTCTCTATCCCTTTTTTTTTTTTTTTAAATGATTCCTAACATTGTTTGCTTTTTTGACTGCCGCTGCACAGTGGATGTTTTCAGAGAATTATCCAGAATGACTCCAAGATCTCTCACTTGAGTAGTTGTAGCTAAATTAGTCCCCATCATATTGTACGTATATTTGGGATTATTTTTTCCAATGTGCATTACTTTACATTTATCAACATTAAATTTTATTTGCCATTTTGTTGCCCAATCACTTAGTTTGGTGAGATCTTTTTGAAGCTCTTCACAGTCTGCTTTGGTCTTAACTATTTTGATCAATTTGGTATCATCTATTGCTTTTAAGTGAAAAATCTAGTATTTTATTAACTAAAAAAATCTGATTTAAAAATAATTGATTTTTATCCACCCTGCTCAGTTCTGAGGCCCTAACATTCCCTCTCCCACACTTCCTCATCTCTCTCCTACTGCTTTTCCAGTTCCCTTCTCCCACTCTTGGTTAGCTTTCTGTTCAATGTGAAGGATGGTAGCTATAGACAGGTACAGTGCCCTTATAAAGCAGATTCCACCTCCCGGATCTATGAGCATTTTGGAGACATGTTCTTAGTAGTGTGAGGAGTCATGGAAAACACAGCAAAATACACAATCCTGCTAGTGGACCACAGCCTGACTTGTGGCTGGTATGGAAAATAATCCTTGGAAAGCATTATATCATCACTTTTCTTCCTATCGCTTGCTTGTTCTGCTTCCTCTCCCTCCCACTCCCTGCCCCAGGCAATTGGCTTCTTCTTCCCTGCAATGAGAGTTCAGGTTCCCTTTCCTGCTTCCTGCCACTCACCACTCTGTGATCAGCCTTCTGCCCTCTTGCTGATCTAGTCACCGCTCTGAAAAGCTTACCACAGGCCAAATTACAGTTGCTTGTCCCTCAGTCCTAGGATTGTTTTTCAAAACCTAGCTAAACTAAGATTATTGGCAGCTATGCTGGTGGCTTCCGTGTGCTTACCAGAGAGTTCTTTATATGGTTCCGGGGGAACAGAAAACAGGCAGACAAAATAGAGGCTTGAAGAGAAACCAGAGAGGGCAGAGTGATAGTTTCCTCACCCGTTTTCTTCTCATATCCAATTTTTCTTGGCCTTTCCCACTGCTGTACTCATCTGTTCCAGCAGGTGCCAGTCGAGGTATGTCTACACAGCAATGTAAATCCAGTTAGCCCCCTGTGGGTACATCTAGACTGCAGGGTTTTTCTGAGATACCAGAGGTAAAATTTGCATAGCTTTTTTCTGAAAAAAGGCTATAGTGTAGACTTAGTCTGGGTGTCCACACAACTGCTCTGAAGCTGGCAGAGGCCAGGCTAAGGAGGTGGGTGGGTAAATGGGGGTTTTTTCCTCTGACATCTACATTTCATGTCAAACTTCAAAACAAACAGGTACCCCTCCCCCCACATCTAAAAATACCACTGTGGAACAACCCATTTTAAAAATTAAAATTTGCAAGTTTCATTTTACTGTCATGCTGGAGCATGATGTCCTAATTATCCTCAGAACAGGTGCTCATGGTCATTTACCTGCCAATGTGACTTAACCTAGAGGTGAAGAGCCCACTTCTCATATTAGATGGAGTCCATTCTACTGTCATGGGCATGGGAGGAGTTAATTACATAGTTTCTCTTCTCCTTGTGGACACTTGTGTCCCATCAATAGCAACCATCACAGGACAAAGGGTGGACAGTGCAATAGCTTTGTTTTGGCTAGAGTGTTAAAATAGGAAGGGGTGCATTAGGCTGGGACTGGGTTACTTTGACTATGTCTGCACTGCAGTTTGGATGCAGGAGGTCTAGATTTGAGTATGGGTGAGAAAATTCTTACCCTAAGGTTAAAATGCAGCCTACGTACTCAAATCTAGGATTCCCTGACGTGGATCAGCTGACTTGAGTTTGACTAACTTTAAGCTTACTTTGCTGTGTAGACATACTTTCAGAGGCAAGTACAGGAGCAGCCCTTGGAGCTCAGTGCCTCCCACTGATGCCCTACTCTCTATCCAATTTCACACTTTCCCATTGAGCTACTGGATGAGTAGATTAAGAGAGTGTCTGAGACAGCATGTAGAAAATATTCTTTGAATACAACCTCATAAAAGGGCCTTGCATAAGGTCCTTCTGTGTCACAATGAAATAAACTTTGTTAGAATAGAGGGAGTATTGTCTAGTAGTTAGAAAAGATGTCTTAGGAGTCACGACTGCTAGATGTGATTCCTGGCTTTGTTACTGACTTACTGTCCATTGGACAAGTCACTTCACTTGCCTGTATCTCCCTGTCCCTATTTGTAAAATGGGGGTGATAACACCTACTTTCCTTGTAGCATAGTGGGAGGGCAAAATTAATGTCTGAGAAGGACTCCGAACACTATGGCTACCTCTACGCTGCCGGCTTTGCCAGCCGTGCCTATGCAAATGAAGCACGGATTAGCATATTACCGTGCTTCATTTGCACAATTTATTCAAGCTGTTTTTTGTGCAAGAGATTTTTGTGCGAAAACAAGCAGTGTGGATGGGGTTTTTTTTTTTTTGCACGAGATCCTCATGCCTCTCCCTATGAATACAAACAAAAGACAGAACTATGTAGTACTTTAAAGACTAACAAGATGTTTCAGCTACACCAGACTAGCATGGCTACAACTCTATCCTATGAGTACAAAGTATTATTAACTTTCCTGTTCCATTCTTGTCAGCTGTTCTAAAAAATAAATAACCCAGTTGGAGTTGTCTCAGAGCAGAGGAAGCGTTCATTGTTCTCAGTAGGGTTGCCAGATGGCTTCAACAGAAATACCGGACACAGTGGACATTCCATCACAATCTACATTACATCTTATTTAGAAAATACCAGACATTTATATTTTCTCTATTTGTTTCCCAAACAGAAAGCTCAAATACTGGACTGTCTGGTTCAAAACTGGACACCTGGCAACCCTAGTTCTCAGATTTGCACAAAAGTAAAAAAGAGTATTCCACCAAGTGCCAAGGTGGGGAAAAAGGGCCTCCTCAGGCTGGATCCAGCCCGCCAACTGGGTTGATCTGGCCTGTGAAGGCCCTGCCGCACCCCCAGGCCAATCAGGGCCTGGGGTAGGGGAGCATGTGAAGTTTCCTCAGCCTTGAAAGAAGCTTTCGGTGCTTAGAAGTACCACGTGCTCCTGGCGGTGCAGGAGGAGACTTTGTGTGCGCCTCTCGTCCTCCATGCCCTGATTGTGCACTCCCCCTTCTGCCCCCAGGCCAAAGTCTCCTCCCACCACCAGGGGCATGGGCGCCTATGGGAAACTCGAGGGTGGAGTGGGGGGGGAGCAAAGGTGCTCCCCCACCCCAGACCAATTATGGTCTGGAGGTTGGGAAGTAGGGAAGTATCCTGGCCCTGCCCCTCCCGATGCAGACCAAGGCTAGTTCAAAAATTTCTGAAGTGGCCCCTGGCAAAAAATTATTGCCCACCCCTGACTTAGTGGATCAGTTAGCAGGCTATATACATTGGTTTCAGAAGTTAGAAAGCTCATTTGCTGTTTCATATCACCCAGCTTCCCCTCATGGATATAGTATTCCCTTGGTAATTGCTCCGTTCCCAATCACTGTCCTCTTCCGGGGCTGTGGCAGGGTACTGGGGCCTCTTTACAGGATTTTTTCCACTAAGTGCCTGGACTGCTTCAAGACCTTAGAAATTGGATTCACAGTCTCCATTGCTCGCCCCAAATTTATATATTTTTAAAGGGTTTGTCACTCCTGTCTTCTTGCTTTTTATGTGCAAGCGCCCAACAGTTCCATGTTCCAGTTCCATGTGCCTTTCAATAGCAGTGTTATTTTAACACTGATGTTGCGGTAATGCTCAGACATGCCAATCAGGATCACATTGTACTAGGAGCTATACAAATACATACGAAGATGTTGCTTCCAACATGGAGAATTTTCATGCTAAGGATAAAAATGGTCCCGATTCTCTCTCTCTCTCTACTGTGGCCCCTTTACACCATTCCACAGGCAAAAGGAAGGCACAATGGCCTCCCCTTAGGGAATACCCACAGTGCAAAGGGGCTGAAATAATTGTAACTCCCAAGTGAAACAATCGTATGTAACTTCTTGCAGCCCCTAGAACAAGCAGTTAATGCTGGAAAGGGACATGATAGGAGTAAGCTATGACATAGGCAGCTGTGGGGGGCCCGCATTTAGAATTCTAGAAGCACAAAGTTGATTTAAAGCCTCTTTTGTTCCCTTCCCCTCCCACTGCCTGGACCGAGTCTCTCAGAATTATAGCTTATAAAGGTATAAGGCAGGGTTGGGGGACCTTTTTTGCATTGGGGGCCAATGACCCACAGAAAAATCAGTCGCGGGCCCGGGACTGCATGCAGGCGGTAGGGAGGGGGCCTGCAGTGCCAGGACTGGCTCTCCAATGCTGGGGAAGGCCCTAAGCCTCAGAGGTCAGAGCCAGGCAAGCCTTAGGTTCCCCACTCCTGGTATAAGGCATTGATCCTATGAACACTTATGCCCATAGTTACATAACTTTATTAGTTCTGATGAAGGCTATGAGACTATTCAGGGTGCTATAAAATTCAATATATGCAGAAGTGTTTTGCAGGATCAGGAGCTAATTACCTATGAAAAATTAGGTTTTAATGATAAAATCAAGTATTTCTTACTCCTAAATTAATGACTTTACATAACTGTTTTGGAAAGTCTTTCCACATCAGCCAAAATCTCATGGCAAGAAAGAAGAAATATAGGAAATCAAATCTGTAGATTACCTTTTACACTTAATGCTCAGATTTGAACCTTCTGGACCACTTGTCACACTGCCTGCTTAGAATGGAATCTCTGGTCCTTGAGGCCTTTGAAAGATGGAAAAGATTGTTGGAAACAGGGTTGAATGAAGGCAATTTGAGTTCCTACCTGCACCATAAGATAGAGTCCCACTGTGGCCTCATCATATTCCATGGTCCTGAATCCGACTAGCAGTGGCATGGCAAACTCCCTATCCTCCTAGAGTGTCCCTTTCCCCTGGAGTAACAGTAGGGACTTTGGAGGGGAGAAGCAAGGATACTAACAAGAATCCCCTTTTGGAGGTGTAAGGGCTGCAGCATGGGGCACCCAGTAACTGTCCCAGCAGCTGAGGTGCATCAGGGTTGGTGGGTAAATGGGCTTTCCTCATGGCACAGTTTCCTTTGGGGTGTGGTGCTGGTGGGGCTCCCCAAAGCACTGAGATGCATGGAGCAGCTCATACCTTTCAGAGTTATTCTTACAATTTGCAGATCCAGGCAGATATTATTCCATCTGCTATGCACAGTTCATATTTTCAGACATTAATTCACAACCATATGGGCTAGAATTTGGATTTTTCCCCAAAGAAAGCTGAGATTCGGATTTAATCTGTTTTCAGCAGCTGGCATGTTAAGCATGAGTCTGAGGTGCCTCAACTTCAATCCAGACCTGGATAGAGCCTCTTAGCTTGAATAATTGAAAACAGAACTGGATAAAACACTAGTGTCATAGGTAGGACCCTACCAAATTCACTGTCTAATTTGGTCAATTTCAGTCATAGGATTTTAAAAATTTTAAATTTCATTATTTCAGATATTTAAATCTGAAATTTCAGTGTTGTAACTGTAGGGGTCCTGAGACAACTCTGAAAGGGGCAGTGCAGAAATAGGAGTGGCACGGTATGGTATTGCCACTCCTATTTCTGCGCTGCTTCTGGCAGAGTGCTGTCTTCAGAGCTGGGTGCCTGGCCAGCAGCCATTGTTCTTCAGCCACCCAGCTCTGAAGACAGTGCAGAAGTAAGGATGGCAAGACCATAACCTTCCTACAATAATCTTCTTTTGAGTCAGTACCCCCATTGGATGGCAAGACCATAACCCTCCTACAATAATCTTCTTTTGAGTCAGTACCCTCATTTTGAAAAACTCTGGTCCCCCCCCTTGAAAGCTGTATAGTATATGGTAAAAGTACACGACCAGATTTCGTGAGGGACACCTGATTTCACGGTTCATGATGTGTTTTTCATGGCAGTGAATTTGGTAGGGTCCTAATCATAGGGAGCCAGGTTGCATTGGGAGAGATTGACGGGGTCTCTTCTATTTCCAACTTCTTTGATTTAAATGTTCATAGGGAGCCAGGTTGCATTGGGAGAGATTGACGGAGAAATCTTCAATTTCCAACTTCTTTGATTTAAATGCTAACCCATTTTGAGATTCGCTACCTAAAAGTGCCTTCCTGCTGCATTTCAGAAGTTCAGTGCTGTATGTTATGAAGGTGCCACTTGAGAGCACACAGTTAAAACAACTGCTTTTCCATTATAAAGCTTAATTTGACTCTCTTGCACTCTGACTTTAGTTGAAAGAGAGAACAGTTTGAGTTTTTGAAGGATTACTATTTTTAAATTGGATTTTTAGACGTGTAGGATCAGAATGATTTGTGTTGCATAATTTCAAAAACTGATTTTCAGAATGAAAAAAGTCCTTTTGAAATTAATTTTTTGCTATTTTTGTTTAAACATTGGTTTATTGCAGATGTTTGAAAATTAAAACATATGACATGCATTTGAACCCACTTCCGGGGATCTTTTCATTTATTTTTTCATTGATTTCTAAATAAAAAAAAGCCTTACTCTTTAAGTGTTGCACTGGTTGTATATTGGGGGATGCTGTGGTATATTGCTTGTGAAATGAGTCTGTTAAATGATATATTTGATTACTTGTACATTTGGCATCTAAAACTACAGACTGAAACATTTTTCAGTTTTAGTCATCAGATATGCCCTGCCAAAATGAACCCAATCAAAGAGTAGTATTTTAAAATACAACAGCCAATACAATTCAAACTAGTATAATTCAAAACTTCAGTTCAAGACTAATAATACAACACTACCCGAGTATCATGTGAAGCATTGTTGAGTTAGTGCATTGTGTATGGCTGTATCGAAAGGTAGACTTTGCATGAATAAGAGTAAGACACAAAAGATCCTGTGCACAGTTCTTAGAGGAGAAAATTCTGTGAAAAATGGATAAGATTAATTTAGACGTGGTAATCACTGTGTTTTGCCTGTAGGTTGTTTGGGTGCAAGTTATAGAGAGAGTTTTCATTTATGGGTTTTTTACATGAACTGTGTTGTGTAGTTAATGAATGGGATCAATTCCAAGAAATTCATGGACATGAGGTTTATTTTAGGATCTTGATCTATCTTTTTATGTTTTCCCTGATTCTCTGTCTCTTTATATGGCCCACAAATCTGTGGAAAGATACATGTTGACTTCAATGGGGTTTAGATCAAGCCCTTTATTGGGTAACCGTTCAAAACAACATACTTAACTTCCAAACAAGTTAACTTTCAAGTTTTTTTGACAGTCTGTTTTTCATGGTCAAGAGTTTTGCTAAAAGTTCTCTTACATTCTTGATGGTTTTGCTTTTTATTATTGCTCAAGTCTCATTTTATTTGATTAGGTGTTTACATTTCTGAGTATATAATGCCCTCTACAAGTGACAGGTGAATCAAATATGAAGCACATAAGCACTGTGGGTTTCTGTTCCTGCCTCGTGGCTGGTCCACACAGAAGAATAAGAATCTGCTACTCCTACTAGCTACAAAAGTGATCCCCTTAACTGTAGTGGTAGAGTTTCATGCTTTTGGTGTTGAAAGTTCTGCATTCAGAATCCCTTAATGCACACAGGGGATATAATCAAAAGTGCACATTAAAGAGGGGCTTGTATGTAAGTATATGGCAATTATTAACACAAATCCAAATAGTGAAATAACTATACAGAAAATAAGGCTAAACATGGTTATAACCTGTGAATTGGGAATAAGGTAAAATCTCTTTTTATTAGAGGTAGAAGGAAGTCTGTTTTAGTTATGATCTCTAAGTATAATAAAGCTGTAAATGAATCTCCAATGTTAGAAATGGCATAAGGAATAGAAAAAAGGAAGAAAAAGATATATGGGCATGGAGACTAGGGGCTAAAAAGGACAGTCTTTTTAGACAAGTTTGTGTAGTTCTTGCTCTAAAATCAGCGGTTAGTGTGTCATTTATGGATATGGTTTTATTTTGTGACTTTATAGGTGTGGTCTTAGGCTGTAAGAGAAATTTCCACAGCTGTGTTTGTGTTAGTTGGGCTGTCACCACCCAGGCCTTGGCATCAACACTAGGAGATGCTGTTGCACACCCTTTCAGATCTGTGCATATTTAGGGTCTCCCTATATCCCCTCCCCAAAAAAGCAAGCAAACATTTGAGTTCTAGATTTTCATTGCTGACGGTATGAGCAACTGTTGCTGGCTGGCCTAAAGGGACCAAATCTGGGAGGGGAAATTGGTAAGCCAGTTAGTTACTGTGGCTGGATTTCACACAGCTATATTTATCAAGGATATTCAGTGCATTGGAAACAGGTGAAGCAATTCAGTGTTCAGGTCTCTGCCGTGGTGACTTTTTAGAAGCGTATGTGCTGAACTGTAACACTGATACTATGCAGATTCATATCTCATTAATACCCTTGCCCAGAGCTTAATTTGTAACAAAAGAGGTGTTAGAGCAGGGGTGGGCATTCATTTTCCCAGGGAGACCACTTCATGAATTTTGGTATGTGGTCACAAGCTGCCTCCACCTCCGGAAGGGGAGGGGCCTGAGGTGGAAGGGGCAGGGCGGGGGACAAGCTTCCCCCAGAATTGTGTGGGGCAGGGGCTTGGAATTAAAAACACAGCAAAGGGCTTGTGGCTTCTGGCTCTGCTGCTACGGTGTTGCATGGTAACCGCCTGGGATTGCTGCAGCTATTTAAAAGGCTTGCAGCTCCAAGCCCTGCTGGGGTAGGGTCGCAACTGGGAGCCATGAGCCATTTAAATAGGATCCTGCTGCCTGAGCTACCACCTGGACATGCAGTGGCACGGGCAGCAAGATATAAATAGAAAGTGGCCAGATGCTGTCTGCAGGCTGAATCAAAGTGTTAGAAGGGCTGGATCTGGCCCCTGGGCCGCATCTTGCCCAGCCCTGTGCTAGATCTCCCTGCCCCTGTCTAATGAGGGCCTGCTCCAGGATTAGGCCTCTAATGACTTGCAAATCTGTTGTTGGGAATTCTGTATGGAATTGGCCACCTCCTCTAGTCCCTTTATGCTGCCAGCATTGCTGACATTCTCCCATACAGATAACCTTACACTCAACATCTTTACCCCATGTAACCAAAGTCGCTAAATATATCCTCATGTGGTTGCCTACCCAAGAGTTACACAATTATTTGAACAAAGCTGTTGTCCACCTGGCCTCCCAGAGAGTGCAAAGGCTGTAACAGTTGGGCTCTGTATTTAATGCTGGCTTCTGGAGCACAAGGGAGGAGGGTTAAGGACAGATTATTTTTTCTTTAAAGTAGCAATGAAAGAGGTTACCTGGTTACCCAGTAAGCAGGTGACTTATCTGCCTGCTTACCAGGTAACCAGTTAACCAGCCTGACTGGCTGGACTCTGCCCTTGGCTGCAGAGGGGCTGGGGGCAGGGATGGAGCCAGAAACTGGAGCACAAGGGAGGAGGGTTAAGGACAGATTATTTTTTCTTTAAAGTAGCAATGAAAGAGGTTACCTGGTTACCCAGTAAGCAGGTGACTTATCTGCCTGCTTACCAGGTAACCAGTTAACCAGCCTGACTGGCTGGACTCTGCCCTTGGCTGCAGAGGGGCTGGGGGCAGGGATGGAGCCAGAAACAGCCCCCCTCAGCCTGCAGCTGGACCAGCCGCCCCCCCCCGAGGCTGTGGCAGGGCCGGGAGTGGGGTTGGGACTAGAGCAGCCCCTGCTAGCTGCAGTGGGGCAGGGGTGGAACAGCCCCTTCCACAGCT